ATTTCATAAAATATTTCATTAATATTTAGATTTCAATATATTTCTATACTATTTATATTACTATATAAATGGAATAGTGTCCATTTACATTTAGATATATTTTCTTGCTATAGTTTCTTTTCGTTAAGCACTTGAAAAGATTTGCTTAACCTGGACTGCATGATAAATCAGTCTGTTTTATCAACATATATACATACATATGTATATATATTTTGTTCTCTTTTCGCTTTTGGTCTGGCCAACCGCAGATTTAAGGCACTAACTCAGCTGTCTGCATTTATTTTGCATGGCGTTCGCTGCTTTTGCATTTTCCATTTAACATTTTCCCTGTTCCGTTTTCTCTGCTTCTTTTTTTTTTTCTTGTGGTCGAATTGTGAACCTGTAATTTGCACACCTTTCCATTCTGCTGTCGCTGACACTGGCAGCTAGACCGATTTGCTCAGTTATAAATTCGGCTAAGGTGAATATTTTTCCTCCCTACCACACACACACACACACACACACACCCACACACATAGAGACATTTTTGTATAGACAGCGTGGGAGAGTAGTGTAATAAATCAAGTAACTTTCAAGCACTTGAAAAGCAGCTGAAAGTACAAATTTTTTTTTCTTCTTTTTGGCTTATTTCTGGCGCTCTGAAAAGCGAGCTTTGTGCATTCAACAAAATATATAACGAATAAATCCAGCAAAAAAAAAGGGGGAGAAGCAGCAGCTGCTTTTACGTAAATTACATTTTACTTTTTGCATTTTATTTTATTTCATTTCATTTCATTTTAATCTGCAAAGTGAATAAGCGCATTTGCTCTGCGCCTTAGTTTCAAACCTGTTCGGGCATGACTTTTATTAAATTTAAAGTGATGTCTATAAATCAACATAAATCAAAGTCTCTCAACGCATGGAAAGTGAACACGAAAGCGAATTTTCCCTCGCAAGGAAAAAAAAAGAATACCTAAAGCAAAATACAGACAAAACTTTTAATGCGAGCACAGAGGGCGGTCCGGTAGGTGCCGTGGCTATGGCTGAGCACAGCAGGAAACACGCCAACCATCAATAAATTAATCAAAGTCATAATCAGTGTCAGGTTCAGTGGCACGGCCAAGAGTTCTAGGCCAGGCTAGCTACGATTTCAGTTTTTGGTTCAGTTTCAGTTTCGGTACGGTTCGGTACGGCTCGATTCGAGGTCGTGACTCAGTCAAGCGTTAAACAGGCGCTGAAGAGGTGCAAAATGCCAGCTGCTGATAATGAGTTAATAAATGACCGTTAAGGCAATATTTATAAGGCACACATACACATATGTATCTGTATGTGTATGTGTGTTTGTGGAAGATTTATGATAGCGCTCAGCTCAATTAAAGATATGCTTGAGCTCTGGCGGCCATGCAAGGCATATTAATATTCATAAGGCCCGTTATGGAAGATATATGATAAGAGAAGAAGATAATTGAATATCTTTTTAGAGATCTATATAAGATGAGCCTTTAAGTTTTCATAGAATAAACAAATATATGATTGAGATATACGTATATGAAATAAAAATAATTACGAAAAATTCAGATGAAGAAAAATGCAAAGAATTCATTCGAATTTTGAGATGTACAAAACATTTCTAGTTTCAAAATGAGAAACGTTTAATTTTATTGTACACTAATAATTCATAAGCACTTCGTACTATTGTGAATATAATTATCTTCTTCTTCTCTGTATGACATTCACGTTGAGTGCCGATGTTTTTATAATTTTGTATCGATAAGATTATTTTTATGTATCGATAGTTAATGATGGTGCCAACGTCTCTAATATATTATGATCCACAAAAATTGTAAAATAATTTTATATATATACATACATACATGTGCATGAGCTTTGTGTTCTGTATGAATAGAAAAATAATAGAACATATCTTGAGTCATCGAAAGATATTTCTATTGTGATTTTCATACTGCCGAATATCTTACTGAAATTGTCAGGCTTTCACACACATACATGCATATTTATGTAGACATGTAAGTACATATGTATGTATGTAAGAAGGAACCAATTCATACTTAAAGCAAAGATAATAAAATAATATGATCATGAGTACATGATAGATTAAGACTTAAAAAAGTATAAATATAAGCAAAATGTCTAGTGCCATAAATATTCTAACTCATTTCTCTCGTGAACTGTACTCCCGCTTAGACTTGTATTAAAGCCAAGCCCTAGTGTTTGATTTATTTATTATGATTTCTTTGTTGTGCTGTTAGCCACTCGCATTTGTGTATTCAGCCAAGTGCAAATATGCTTTTGTTTTTGTGCGCAAAGCAACGGCAAATACATATGTAGGTAGCCCACAATATTTGTATAAACCTGACTGACTTTCATATTTGATAAGCTCTACCCCTTTCTGTGTAAGTGGGCTGGCATTGCGTATGCGTAATGCTGACGACGTTCGACAGAAATTGCGCTGACAACATCAGAAATAGGCAACTTATGTTTTTATTATTGACACAGAAACCGCCTCCATGCTCCCACCTCGCCTCCTCTGCCACTCCCACTCCCACTCTAACTGAGCAAGTGAACTGCCTTTTGCTGCTGCTGCTGCTGCTGCTGTTGCTTCTCCTGCTCGCTTTTATTGCCTAACCCAATCAATGTGAACGCCTTGCTCTTGGCTCTTGGCTGGAGAGTCGCAATAACGACGTTTTAACCAAGCAAACAAATTTGACGTGCTTTTCGTGATTTACATGCAAATATTGAAAAATATTCCCCAAGGATACCGCAAAAAGCAAAAGCCAACCACAAAAACAGAAAAAGCCCGTAGAACAGAACAGAACAAAAAATGAGCTCAGAAAGTCAGGAAGCAATATCGATTTTCATGTGGGCGGTCGTGCTCTGAAAACGTAGGGAAGGGCACCACAGCTCGCATTGAGGGCGCATGAAAGGAGAGCAGCAAATAAAAGAAATATTAGCCAACAAGAGACAAAATGTTGGTCTGCGGTAGCACTAGGGCAATCGGGAGTACAAATGGCCCCAAAAAAAATACGGAAATCGAACAATGTGGGACACAGCCAAAAGATGTGGCTGAAAAATGATCCTCAAATGGGCTTTCAATATAAATAATGAATACTTTGAGTAGAGCAGAAAGTGATAGGCCGCCTTAAAGTTATAAATGTGAAATATATTTAAAATTTATTAAAGAAAAATATATAAAAAATGCATCTTGCTTTTTTTAACTTTATGATATATATTTATATATGGAATAGTTGAATATATAAAAAAATATATATATTTATATTATATAAGTTTCTTTTATAAATTATATATTTCCAAAATTATTTTTACATTTAAAATATAAATTTTGTATTTGAAAAATATTTTCTTTTTGTTGAAAATACAATTCTAATTTATTTTTATTATTTTAATATATATATATTTTATTTTAATTTTTTGGTGTTTTATAATTATATATTTAAATAGTAGGAATATATTATTATTTGAAATATATTTATTCATATGGGACATTTTATTTTTAATCATTAATATCGATTTTTGAAACTAAAATATCATTTAATATAAACTTCAATTTTTTTACATATAAAAATCTATTATATTAAATATATATATATTTAATTTAATTTTTGTTTACCTATTTTTTTTCGATTTTTTTTCATATAATTTTGCGTCAAATCCAAATTGAGAACTTCTACAAAAATATCGCAATATAACTGCACATATAAAGAAAATATATATACTTCGATTATATGAACATTTAATGCTAGTTGAGCTGCCCTTGAGTGGTTCATTTTCCAATTTATTGGCATCAAGCTCTACGCAAACAGACCTAGCCCAATCTAAATATAGCTACACCCATATGCAGATGTGGCCATAAATCACACACACACACACACGCATGTTCACACACACGAACACACGCCCGCACACACTTGCCAAAAAGAAAAAGTGAAGGAAAATGAAAGAAAAACTCAGACTGAGCTCAGTCAACCAAGCAACCAACTAACCAGCTGAAAAGGCTTTAAAAGTCACAAAAAAAGGAGAGAAAAGAGATGGGCAGATAGAGAGAGAAAGAGACAGAGAAACTAAAACGGGTTAATAGAGGCAGCAGACGGAGACCTCTGACAAGACAAGTGGGTGCGTTCATGCGAAAAACTTGTAAACGCAGCACCAGCTAGTTAGTTAAGTGGGCGGGGCAACAGCCCAGCCGCCCCCAAAAAAAGGCTGCCCCTGAAGTATATCGAAGCCCAACAACAACAACAACGACAGGAGCACAAAAATCAACATCAATTTAGAATATTAAAAACGCAAATCCATGTTGGCAGCGAGAGACTTTGGTTGGGGATATGAGGACACTTACCCGCCACTTGCAGCGTCGCATTGCGACTCCGTGCCACGCCCAGCTCGTTCTTAGCCTCGCACCAGTAGACGCCAGCATCTGTTTCGCGACGTGAATTGACAACCTGCAAGCAAGCAGAAGGAGACAATGAGATGAGGTTCAGCTCGAGAATGTGAGCAAATTTTAATTGAAGTGAGTAAAAGATTGTGTTTTTTCTGCGCTGCCACGTAGCGAGTGCAAGCCGGGTATGCCCGACTGCAATGTGAGTCGAGGATTGTTTTTGTAGAATCTACTCTGAAGAATCTACTACTCTAAATATATTATTGGTCATTAATAGTCACTTTGAAGTCGTACAACTTTGAATATACTCTGTAAAATGTATACATATTGAGGTACATCAGAATAATATTTTTGTATAGGGTATATTAGTAGTAGAGTAGAATTTTAATATTTTTATTATTTTTATTTATTTTT